GCTCAGTGATCAGGCAAATATGCCTGTCAAAATGAACCTGAGTGGAGGGAATTGTCAGTGAAGGAAGCTGCCACCCCATATTCATGGCCTCAGCCCATTGCCAAGGGATTCAGGGAACCAGCCAAGCCTCACATAATTGAGTGAAATGACAATCAGCCATGGTACTAAAACAGAGATGATTTTTATAAATAGGGTTGATAGCAGGATTTTCTAGCTTCTGATTGCTATCTGGCTAGGGTTCCACCCTTAGAAAAATTCTGCCCTTAGCGTGCCAAATTCAGAAGATGATTTTGCCCAAGTTGTTACTGCCATATTTTCTGAATCTCTTAAAATAGAATTGAATCATAATTTAGAAAAACATGCAAAAATGGATGGGCATATAGGATGAGGCCAGGTTTGTGGGATGCATTTGTCCCATGAATAATGAAATCTCCTCTCTTAATTCCAAAAATGTTACTAAAACACAGCTTTTGATATTGCACCAAGAATGGGCTCCTTTTCCTTTGGGGACATGGAAATATTAGATGCTTCTTAACTCTTTCAGGTTGGTGCTCACAAAAAGAAAACCCTGGTCTCTCTCCTTCCTTCTCTCCATCCCTCCCTCTTTCACTGTCCCTATCTCCCCCCCCCCGCCCTACACACACATACACACATAAACACACACATGCACACAATCTAGCATTCCCAAACCAACACTACATAGCTAAAACTTGGGCAGAAAGATTACACACAGAATTTGTTCATGACTTGTGATCATGACCTAAAAGGGTCAGTACCTGTTCCCACTCATGGACAAAGACAGGCCAAGGCCTTAGAAATGAGCTACCTCAGTGACTCAGCGCAGCCGCTAAATAAAGAGGCTGCATCTCTGAGAAGGCATTGCAGGCCAAGGGCTGGATCTGAGTGTGCAGTCTGATGCTTTCAGGAGCTTCGCAGGCCATCCAGGAGAAGGTAGCAGCTCCAGCTACACTCCTGTCCTCATGCCTTAGGTTGGTACCACACCTTATCCATGCATCTCTTGGCCCCCTTGGATCCTTGGGTGAGAAAACTGAGTGCAGGCTTGGTTGAGGTTTCAAATTCAAATCACCCGAATGCCAGTCTCTGCCAGGAACTCTGGGAAGCATCCCAACTTACACGACCTCACCCCATTCTCCCTGTGAACTACAGGGAGATATTGTTACCCTCACTCTACAGAGAAGAAAAACAGAGTTTAGAGAGGTCCAGGGCACAGCCAGGATTTGAACTTGGATCTTTTGATTCTAAGCTAGAACTCCTTCTCTTTGATCACCACAATGGTTAGGATTTTCACTGTGACTGGAAGGACACAGATGTCTGGGGTCAGCTTTCCAGGAGAGAGTGCACTGGGCAGCCCCCCTCGACCTTGGAAGCAGCTTCTTCTACCTGCTCTCTTTCTTGGCCCTGCCTTCATTTCCACTTCTTATTTGGGCCCACATTCAGCCTTCCCAGATGACCATCCACTTGTCATTCCTTCCCCACGCTTTTTTCTCTCTGCTTTGCACAGACCTCATGTGTCAGGGGTTCTTTTAGTTGCCTGACACTAGGTTAAGCAGCCAGTGATTAAAAACAAGTGAACAGACCACACTTCCACTGTCAAAGGAATGGGAGACAGACATGTACCCACAACCACAATGCAAGTCTGAGGAATGCTCTGGTGTGTGTGTTTCGCTGCACGAGCCCAGGAGAAGGACCCGGCGATGATGACTTCCAGCTCTTCCACCTCCTCCCAGTGCATCTCCTTGCCTCTTCTGCTGTTTTTCTACTGAGAAGTTCAGCAAAACAAAACAGTGGGTGGATTTAAAAGAAAAATAACCAAAAGCATGCCCATGGATAAAACCAACACATCACTCCCCTCTGCGACAGGGACGTAAAGTTTAGTTTGGATCTAACTAAACTGGCCAGTTCAGGGAGAGCGGAGGGGCTGGGACAAACCCAGTTCCCATAGTTTCAAGGGAGCAGAGATCCAGACCCCAGGTTCTCGGCCACTGTTCATTTTGTAATTGAATGAAGAAATGCGCTGTTTCCATGGCAACGGGACCATGGACGCTTTATGGCCTCTCTGAGCACTTGCTGGCCCAACTCCCCTCACTTTTCGAAGCAGAGCTGGTGGTGCTTGTAGAGACACTTCTCAGAAAATCACATATTATAGTGAAGTGAAAATGGTGAATCCGGTCACCAGACCCTTTTTTTTTTTTTTTTTTGGAATGGTATCTCCAGAATTCAGCCTAAGAAGCAACTGCCTCTGGTCTAACGAAAGCTGCTCCCATGATTTCTGTCTCCTTGGGTCAGGTCACCACTGGAGGGAGAACTTTAGGTTCTGCTAAAGGCAGTTAAGGAAAATGCTAGATTCTGTGACGATGGCAGCAGAAAATGCTTTGTGATCTGTGGCTGCCTCCACCATGCCAATGTTTTCGTGTGGCTGACATGAGGCAGGCCCTGCGTAGGCATCGGTCCCCTCCTGTGTGGCGAGCAGCCCCCAGCAGCCATGGGCGTGCTACACTGCATGCTGAAAACTCATCCCGTGGTGGACCCAGTGGGGAGCCCCACAGCCCCTCTTCTGAAGGAAGGACTTGCCCGGGTTGCTACAACTGACAGTCTTCAGCTCCCTGCCCCTCAGGGGGCCCAGAAGTTCCATTCGGGGAGCGGGCATCCAATGACTGATTCATAAAGGGCTATAAAGACTCAGCCCCCTTAGCACAAGTCAGACCGACTTTGAAGGGGCAGCCCGTAGGGGCGGGTGAGGCTTTTGCTGAGACTGCATCATGACTCCACCTCACCCCTGCCCACACCCTCCCACCGGTGCGGATCCCGAGAGCATGCCCCAATAACTGTCTCCTGCCGATCTCCTCTCAGCCTGCTCCCCAGGGATCTTGACCTGTGACACATCCCAAGGTCTATAGGTGGTTCAGGTCAGGGATGTCCCCTCGGGGAGAGCAGAGTCCACGCAGTGGTCTAGAAAATGACCACCAGGGACCCAGCCGTGTTCTCAGCTCCTGGACATAGTGTTTAGTTTTGTAGTTAGCATGTTATCTGATGGATGACAGTGCTTTCATTCCATTCCAATGGCAAATTGGTGTGAACACGGATGCTCGCATTTGCCATCTGACCTTGGTACTGACTGATTGCAGTCTCCCTGGAGACAGGATTCACACACTCATTTCTACTGGAAGGAGTCCTCGGGTTTCCCTCCTCCTCCTCAATCAGAAGCAACCAATGCCTCTCTGAACTCATTTGCTGCCCAGGTTTAGTTCTCGTGGCCTTTATCATTTATTCCACAAGTATCTTCTGAATACCTGCCCTGTGCCTTTCCAAGTGTTGGCAACGCAGAGGTGGAAGGCTCAGCCTCTGGGTCAAGGAGCTCACATTCTATGCCAAAGTCAAGCAAGCATGTAATTAGACTGTATTGCAGTCAGCAATATGATGGAAATAGGTATGAGGTGCGCCTGGAAGGGTCATCTAACCCAGTCCTGGGGGAGGAAGGGTTGCGACACCAATGAGGGGTGGTCAGGGAACACTTCCCAGAGAGGTGGCAGCGCTGAGTCTTGGAGGACTGCTGGCTATATGCCATGTGTATTAGTTTCCTATGACTGCTGTGGCAAATGACTACAAAGTCAGTGGCTTAAACAACACAAGTTATTTCTCCCACGGTTCTTGTCGTCCAACATCTGAAATCAGTTTTACTGAGCTCAAGTCAAGATGTTAGCAGGGCTGGTTTCCTCTGGAGGTTCTAGGGGAGAATCTATTTCCTTGCCTCTTCCAGCTTCTAGATGCCACCAACATGGTGGCTTATGGCTCCTTCCTCCATCTTCATAGCCAGTAGTGTGGCTTCTTCTCTCCTCTCTGATTTCTGCTACTGTCCTTGCATCTTTTCTCTCTTTGCTCTTATAAGGACCTTTGATGACATTGGGTCCACCTGGATAATCCCCACCTCCATCAAGACTCTTAATTTAATTATACCTGTGAAGTCTCTTTTGCCATGAAAGGCAGCGTATTCATAAGTTCCAGGCATTAGGGAGTGGACAGGTTTGGCAAAGGGTGGGGGGTCCAACTTCCCACACTAACAGCCACACCCAAGATAGCATTCCAGGCTGGGGAATGAACATGTACAAAGGCAGAGAGGCATGGCCGGTTGTCATCTGGGCTGCAGATAGTTCATAAGAGGAGTGTCAAGGGATCAAGCTGGGCAGAGATACAGGAGCTTGTCCATTCAGGACACTGGGCTTTTAGTTCAAATCATAGTTATTTATATACGTGTCTTTTCTCCCTATTTGCCCATAATGGCCGGAGGCTAGGATCTGGGTCATTGCCTTCTTGATGCTGTCACAGTTCTTGCTCCGTGATGGGCACATGCAAGACCTGAGCACACTGTGTGGCGTCAAAGTGCCATCTTCACCCTGCTGTGACACTGTGGTGACCAAGTGATCTGAGCAGGGGCATGCTTCTAACCATCTTCACTGGGGCAGCATGACTAGTCTCCTTGCAGCTCACTGGGCAGGGACATTTTGTGAGCCAGTGGCATTTTGGGGCACGGGCTGGAGAAGGCTCCTTAGACTGCTACACCCAGACCAGCAAAATAATCATTGCTGAAGCTGGAGATGGGTTCATGCACATTCATTGTACTCTTCTTTCTAGTGAATATTTTCATAATATAAAGTTTTTGAAAGGTTTTATGAGCAGACATGAGCAGCACATAGCATCACAGAAAACACAACAGGTACCCAAAGGAAAGGGAAGCCCAGGGCAATCATTGGGTCCAGGCCAGGGTTTGAAAGGATGAGGACTGTAAAGAGAGCTCCTGTCTGTAACTTAATGAGAGAACATTTGTGAAAGTTTGTCACAAACTGTAAAGCTTTGTGTACACATAGGGATTATTCCTCAGTTATTAATATAAATGCTCTTTCTCGGGAATTAGGCTATTTTCCAATCTCTGACATCCTCGGTGTAATGTGTTGGGTTTCTTCCCTCTCCGCCCCTGCCAACAGACGCTGAAGGACGCCAGCGACAATGCACGAAAGGACTTCCACCGTGAGGCTGAGCTGCTGACCAACCTCCAACATGAGCACATCGTCAAGTTCTACGGCGTCTGCGTGGAGGGCGACCCGCTCATCATGGTCTTTGAGTACATGAAGCACGGGGACCTCAACAAGTTCCTCAGGTATGGAGAGACAGTGAGGGGCTGGGGGTGGAGGGCTCCAGAAAGGAGCAGGACTTCAGGGCTTAGACAGCCAGAGGGTGTTCCTGGGAAGGGTGGAGGGGCCCCCAGAGCTTCCTCTGGAAGAGTCTCCCCTGGTAACCACACCAAGCATGCCAGGAAAGGAACAAAGGATAAAAGAAGGCCACAGTGTTGCTCTTTTTCCCTCGTCAACTATGTCTACATAATGTGATGCTAATGATTCGATTCAATTCAACCTGCATTTATTGAGCGTGTACCATATGAACTAGTATGTGACATGTGTGCATTTGAGATGGGCCTTAGAGGATCTGTGGGAGTTTGCCAGGTAGATGAGAGAAGGATGCTACTTAAGGCAAAGGAAACAGTGGGAGCTAAGGTACACAGGTGTCACTGTGAAAAGTGCAGTTGGGTGAGAGTGAGGAGTCTGGGGCTGCCAGACCATGGAATAAACTAGGGGGGCGGGAAGTAGAAAAATCACTGGAGAATTCACGGCTGGACTTCATTCTGAGGCCAAAACAGAATAACCAGGGTGCCAACACTCCTGAGCATCTACAGTGGGATGATCTGCATCCAAAGAACCAGAGCTCCAGAAGGAAGGCAGTAGAACAACATGTGGCATGAGGGCCACTGAAGGCTCAGGACTGGCTGGTGCTGAGCCCCCAAGGGCACGAGAAGATGCACACCTTCACCTTCAGAGTGAGCAGGGTCTTTAGAAGGAGGCAAAGCAAGGGAGAGAAAATGTTGACGCCAGAAGGGAGTCATTGGGCTATTAAATAAGGTTAGTGTCGCTTGGAATTCTAGCATTGGCTGACTGAGTTTTGGTTCAGCCCTCCCTCGAGTGCAGGGTACAGAGAACTGAGAGATGCCACAGGATAGTGAAAGTGAGAAAGAGCTTGGAGTGAGCATAACCCAGGAGGAAAGGTCAAGTTGCTTTGAAACAGCCAGGCTAACTCCCACAATGCGGGGGGTGCTGTGAGTGACTCATGAGGAGACAGTGTGGTGTGATGACACCCCCAGGGGTTTTGATCTCCAGACAGAGCTGAAGTTGAGTCTCAGCTCTGGCATTCATTAGCTGAGTGACCTCAGACACGTTTCTCAGCTGTTCTGATGAGGGTAGGGTAGCCACGAGGACTGAACTAGAATAAGCACAGAAAGTGCTTGGCGTAGGAGCAAATAGGAAGTGTTCAATAGGCGGGTGCTTGGACTCCTCCAGGAATGATTTCCACTGGTAACACAGCTGCCCGGCAAGAGACAGCACAAGGAGGGCTACATTTGGTAGGACGGGGAAGTTAGTGATCACGCGGGGAGAGCCCACAGTGAATGTTCTTCCCCTGCGTCTGCCATCTACGGAGGGAGAGCAGAAATGCACTGAGCCAGGTGCTCCTTGGTGAAGGAAACCAAGCGACACTTTTATTGGCACCTAAGCAGGGGCACAAAGGCAAGTGGCACGTGTGAGATCGGAAACCTAAAGAGTGAGAGTTCCCAGTAGTGAGGGGCAGGAGACCTGAGGTCTCCCTGGAAGGGCCTGGGTTCTTCTCTCTGTTCCGCATCAGCTGCGGGTGTCCCTTAAAGAAGTCTCCAGCCCACGACGCTGTCACTTCTCAGGTGGGTCTGAGTTAGATCCTTTTTAGCTCTTGTCTGGTTCTCACGTGTTATTTTCTTTAAAATTTAGCTGGACCTCATTTTTGAGCTATGAGCAGATGTGCTGCCTGTGGTATCTTGGCCGATAGTAATCCGTAGGAGAAACAGGAAAGGTGTTGGAGGCAGACTGATTATCTGCCCTTGTTGGACTCTGTTTCCTCTCCTGTGAAAGGGATATAATTTAACCCATTTGAAGGGCTGGTGTCAGCGCTGTGGGACTGGGAGGTAATCGACACATGTTGTCCCCACAACCCTCCACTCTGCCACATTTTCCTCTTCGTTTTGGTTGAGGGATCCAAAATCCTGGGGAAGTGACACCTTCCATGCCATGGCAACACCCGGACCTCTCTGTCTTCCTCCCGTTTCCATGGGCACTCAGAGAGGGCTTTGCGCACGACCCAGCCCTCGTCAGCTTCGCGCATCTTCTGGGAGATTGGGACACTGAGCAGTTTAAGTCATCAGGCAGTCACTACGAGAGCAGTGGAAGGGAGAGAGTGTACTGCTGTTTTTAGAAGTGTCATCACGTGGTTAGTGCCATCTGGATCGTTTTTGCCATCTCGAGCCTCGTGGATACATGTGCAACTCCGTTCCCCTTCGCGGGGTGGATCCCACCCTCTGCTCCTCCTGTGACCGTGTCGGTGGAGGGGTGCCAGGTGAGACTGGAATGTGCAGCCAATCTGTAGTCTTCCCAGACAGTCCGAACGCATTGTCCCATGTCAGCAAAGTTTTTCTCATAGGTGATAGGACAGGAGATGGCAGCTTTTGCACTTTGTCTTGTCAGAGCTAACATGAAAGGAAGAAAGGAAGCTGAATTTGGTTGAGGTCTAGCTGCTCCTAGGAGAAATATTTTCCCCTTGTTCCCATTTCCCAGGCTACATCCCTAATTCAAAAGGATGCTTTCCCCAAACTGTAGCATAATGAATCCAAATGTACTCACCTGGATGTAATTAAATGCTTCTGTGAGCTGTGTGTGTGTGGGGGGGGGTGCACCCACATGCGTGTGTTGCAACTAGATTCCTTCACTTTCTCACTCAGCCAGCCTCTCCCCAGCTCTCCTTCCTGCCTTCCGGAAGGATCAGGCACCTGATTCTCCCTCAGCATCTTGCATGGGGCATGGAATGATTGGAAAGCTACCCTGCTTGATTTCAGAATCTACTAAAGTCTGAGAGCAAGAGGTTTGCTATACCAAGAGTCAGGTTCTCAGGCGTGCTAATGTGCTGCAAATATAGGCTGTCCTCTTTCCAGAAGAGAAACAGGAAATTAGTTTTATGAAAGGTTCCCAACTCTCATTGGCACTCACCTATAAAGACAAATGTCATTTTTATCTTACTACCCTTTTTCTTCATCCAAAAGCCACTTTTGAGCACCAGAGTGGCCAGGCCCATGCTAGGTGGGGTGAGAAATGAGGAGTAAACATGCTCCTTGCTTGCAAAGGGTTCCAGATCTTTCCTCTTGGAATCTGTCCGGCATTCCCTTCTAATGAGGGGAAAGATAGATGAGTATTTTTAAAGTGATAATAGTTAACATTTATTGAGCCTTGCTAAGTAGTTGAAATGTTCTAACTTGTATAAACCTAAGACACTATTAGAGTAGTCCAGTTTTTTGGGGCTGAAATAAGACTGTGACCAATCAACAGTTTGAACTATATCTATAAACGCTGAATTCTGGCCCAGATTCTCTGGGTCTTTATTACAGGTCCTCCTTAGTTTAGGAGCACTTAGTATACGTTTCCTTTAAGCTCCGGCTCCTGGTGTCGAGGTCCCAGAGAGTTAAGTAAGACGAGTGAAAACATCCTCACTTTCCCCCGCCCCTCACTGCTAGAAAGCCTCTGACTCAACTAACGTTTAGTGAGGTGGAAGGGCCAACCTTTTGGTGTCCTGAAGAGCCCTGTTATAGGCCAAAGAGGCTAACTTGTGTTTTCACGTCGTCTCTCCATTTCTTTTTTTAAAGAAAACCTTTGTCTGCAAAGTCTTTCTCTCTGGCTTTCCTGTGAAAGGCCACGGAGCACTGTGCAAGCAGAGTCTCAACTCCTCTTCACATAAATGCCCTTAGCAAGGTGCAGTTTTCACACAATGAGAAAACAAACCCAGAGAGGTTATGTAACTCACCTGGAGTCACACAGCCAGTGTGTTAGGACAGGATCCAAATTCACTGCAGATATCCCAGAGCTTTGGCCACTGTTCTGTAGATTTCTTACCTCTAGTAAGAGATTTTGAGCTGAAGAAGGCCCCAAAGCACTCCAGTATTTTTTCTCAATGCGATAAAAAGCAAATGGGGGCTGTGGTTTGAGTAGAGGTAGAATGTGTTAGGACCAGCCTTGTGTGAAAACAGGAAGCTCCTCTCTAGAGGGCATTTAAATCTGGATAATTAGAGACAGAAGGGACTTAAGAGATCATGCAGCATAATGTCCCTTGTATTTTTGAGGAAGTTGCAGGTTGCACAAAGTAAGAGGCTTCCTTGGGGCCGGGAGAGTGCCCACGGCCTCTTGCGGTGCTCACTGCCTGAAAATACAAGCATGGAACGTCTGTGACAGATGCCTTAAAAATCAAAGCAAAGGAGAATTACTGCGGCTGAGCCATGATGGAAGGGGGCATATTCCGGTGGCTGGAATGGTTCGGGAGGCGGGCACAGGGCACAATGGGACATCTGTTCTTGGGTAGCCAGCCCTGCCTTTCCCACTTTCAAATATCAAGTCTGGAACCTGCGGGAGAGGTCAGCCCCTTTAAGATGTATTTGAATGTTCTCCATTTATTCCAAATATGCTGAAGGAGATCGTCTCCTCTCCTCTTTGCCTTTGCCAGGGAGAAGCCCTGACCGCGCCAGGGCAGAGCAGCGGCCGGTGTGCCTTCATTCCCTGCCCTGCAGCGCCCCCTCAGGCCACGGGCGGTGACGCCACTCTTAGCTCCGTGCAGGATGCCCGCTGGGGCACAGCTGAGCTATCCTAGGACTGGGACCCTCCCCTCCCAGAAGCACATGGCAGCGTTAGGATGCCCTAAGTCATCCACAGCTGGGGGAAGGCCAGCTGTATAAGACAGAAAGAAAAAAATGTGAAAAAATACCATAACCACTCCCCCAAAATTTTCCCCAGCAAGAAAATTAATGTATCGTGATTCAGAAGAGCTCTCCTATGTGTTGGCCAGTGGCGTGTTGAGCCGGAGGTGGGGGGGACAGAGGTGGGCAGAAGGAGAGAAATGGTATTTTTTTCTCTGGGAATGAACGTCCGGGCTGAGAATGCTCTGAGACTCTGCTGAGCTGGGCGTGAGGGAGTCAGGGCAGCTTGAAAACCCTGCCTGGCCACAGATCAGGGGGACAGGGGAGACCCCAAGCCGCCTAGTTCCGGTGCTGGTGGGGACATTGTGCAGGGGTCAGCTTTGGGGCTGCTGTGCTGCAGGCGCTGTGAGCATCCCTCTCGGACAGCCAGCCGCGCCCCCAGCACGTTGCAGCGTTTGTGTTTTGCTACAGCTACCCACTGCTTCTCAGGGCCAGGGGCTCTGGCCAGCGCCTGACCCCAGCATGGTTCTGGAGCCTCTGAAACATCAGCCTGTCCGTGTTCGGGGCATTCAGGCTCACGTGGCCCTGGGAATTCCAGACTCTTCAGGAAACAAAGCAGCCTGGGTACTCTGGGGACTTCCAGGGTACAGGTGTGGGTGAAGCGTCTTGGTCTCCTCTTTGTGCTAAGTCAGGCAGCGTCTTTTAGCACCTGTAGCTGCCAGGGGGGCAGAGGGACCCTCAGGTCAAAGAGCGGAAGCCTCAGCTGCTCCTTCTGTGTCCTCCCCTAGGGCACACGGGCCTGACGCCGTGCTGATGGCCGAAGGCAACCCGCCCACGGAGCTGACGCAGTCGCAGATGCTGCACATAGCCCAGCAGATCGCCGCGGGCATGGTCTACCTGGCGTCCCAGCACTTTGTGCACCGCGACCTCGCCACCCGGAACTGCCTGGTCGGGGAGAACCTGCTGGTGAAAATCGGGGACTTCGGCATGTCCCGGGACGTGTACAGCACTGACTACTACAGGGTGAGTAGCTGCAGACAGGGAGCCCTGAGGTCCCTCTTTCCTTGGGGTCCCCCACTGTATTTGTTTGCTAGCGCTACCGTAGCAAAATATCACACACTGGGTGTCAGAAATTTATTTCTCACAGCTCTGGAGGCCGGACGTCCAAGATCAAGGTGTCATCGGATTTAGTTCCTTCTGAGGTCTGTCTCCCTGGCTTGCAGCTGTTGCCGTCTCACTGTGTCTGCACATGGCCTTGATTTTCATGTGCGCCTCTACCCCTAACATCTCTCTGTATGAGTAAGCGGACATCAGTCAGACTAGGGCCTACCCCAGTGGTCTCATTTTAACTCAATTATCTATTTAAAGTCCTGTCTCCGAATACAGTCACATTCTGAGGTTCTGGGGCTCCGGTGTTCAACATAGGAATTTGAGGGGACACATCATCTATCTTGCTCTGTCCATGGCTCTCCACGGTGGTGCATGACAGCTCCAAGGGAGAAGTCCTCAGCATGAGAATCCTCCCAGGGGTGCCTGGGGCCTTCATGGAATTCTTGGCATGAGGTTAAAGGATTTTGAGGTTTGGGTTTGATTCTGTGAAATTATGTCTGGAGTGCCTTTGATTGAGATTTGAACTAGAGAGAACTTATTCCCATAAACAGTAGTACGGTGGACCTGGGGTTTCCCTGCACAGAACCATCTCGGCTGAAAGCAGTTAGCCAGTGGCCTTCTTGGTGACATGTGAGAGGATTTTTCCTGCCTGTTCCTGAATGGTCCTGTCCCGCCGCCCAGTGTGCCCACTACTGAAAGCACGGAGGGGCAGAGTTGTAGACAGGAATTCAAATCCCCTCATTACCTGGAACTCGCCCTCTGGGTGTGCCACATTTGTTAACTGAGATCTTGGAACTTGGGTATGACAGAAAGGTGACATTTCTGGAAACCCTGAAGTCATGATATTTGGAGTGAAGATTTGGGGTGGTGTTCCACCACTTCGTGCCTTCAATTTGATGTGCCTGCTTATTTTGTTTGATTTTCAAGGAGAGAGGAATAGGCAGGAAAGGAGTAAACACGCTGGGTGTGTATAACGTAAGAGGATGAAGCATAGAACTTGACTACCTTTCATAATTGGTGAAGACCATGCCTTTGCTCTTCTAGTTTTTATTTATTTTTGAGGAGCACTTGGTCAGCTTGTTTCCCGTCCCCCTTCCTGCAGCCTCACTCACCTCTAATGCCTCTACATTTTACTGGAGCCAATTGTGCTACAGTTACTTAAAGAAATCATATCCATTGCCTTGCTGCAAATCCTTCTGTTGATTGTTTTGCATTGTTTCTTCCTTTGTCACCTTGATAAGCATTGCTCACATTTTGTATGGTGAGAAAGAATAGAGTCCAAATTGAAAAGGATTCTCTTGGGTGTATTTGCAGGAAATGTGGGCACACTCTTAACTTCAAGTGTTCAAAATGTAGCTTAAAAGCAATGACTAGTTTGTTCCAGATAACTCAAACATGGGGGAGATTTTACCTACCAACAGATGTGTCTCCTCTGTTAGTTCTGCTCCCTTGATGGAAGGTGGGGGTGGGGTGTCTCCCTGTCTCAGGAGACAGAGAAACACGTGGGTGACTCCCTGAGGAAAAGCTTTGCTGATCTTGATGAGCGTCTAAGGTAGGAACATGCGGCCTAAGCAATGACTTTTTCTGTAGCAATAAGTTAATAAAGGTTGCAAAGAGCCTGGCAAAAAGTATGTGCTTAATGCTTTACCCTAATTATTATCCAAATCAACAAAGATACACTTTATCCCCAAAGTGGAACCCAGCATGCTCCCCTATAGGAATTTCTAGAAAAATAATTCAGAGAAAAAAATACTGAAAATCTCAACAATAAAAACATAAATCACCCAATTAAAAAATAGGCAACTATTTGAATAGACATTTCTCCAAAGAAGATATCTAAATGGTCAATAAGCACATGAAAAGATGCACAACATTAGTCTTTAGGGAAATACAAAGAAAATTCATATGAGATGCCACTTCACACCAAATAGGATGGCTGTAATAAAAATACACAATAACAAGCATTGGGAGGATGTTGAGAAATTGAAACTGTCATACATTGCTGTTGGAAATGTAAAATGCCACAACTACTTTTGAAAACAGTTTCGTAATTCCTCAAAATGTGCAATGTAAAATCACCTTGTAACTCATCAGTTCTACTCCTGGTCATATACCCAAGAGAATTGTAATTATTTGTCCACACAAAAACTTGTACACAAATGTTCATAGAACCATTATTCATAATAACTAAAAAGTGAAAACAACTGTGTCCATCAACTGATTAATGAATAAACAAAGTGTGGTAATCCCCACAATGGAGTATTATTCAACAATGTAAAAGAGTGAAGTACTGATTCATGCTACAACACTGGACACACCTCAAAAACATTATGTTAAATGAAAGAAGCCAGACACAAAAGGTCACATTCTGCACTATTCCATTTATTTGGAATGTCCAGAATAGGCAAATCCATAGAGACAAAACATACCTTAGTGGTTGCCAGGGGCTGGGTGAAGGGAGTAAGCGACTGCTACTGGGTGCAGGGTTCCTTTTGGGGTGATGAAAATGTTCTAGAATTATATAGTGGTAATAGTTGCACAATGCTGTGAATATATTAAAAAAAATTTTTAAAAACCCACACTGATTTGTAGACTTTAAAAGGTTTCATTATGGTATCTAAATTATATTTCAGAAAAGAAAAAAAGCCTGAAAAAGAAAATACTAGCAAAATAGTGACCATCGTTATGCACAAAAAAAGTTAATCTTGGTCATTTACACATTATCAAAACACTGGCCTTTGCCATCTGCCATGTTTTATTACCATTTGTTAAAAAGAAAATTCTCCACTTAGATGACAAGATCCTGAAGTCCTTCCTTCTGGCATGGTTGGGGGAAATAATGACCCCCAGTTCCTTTATTTGTTCTCAGACACTAAGAAATGTGCTTCAGATGCCACATTAATTTCATTGCCCACGCCCACGCGCCATGGTCACGACTCAGTTGCAGTTGTAGGGTCCGTAGGTTTGTTTTCTGTCTGTTTTTCCCACGCAGGATGAGGAAAGAGAACCAGCCTTGCGGTGGCCTCTGTTACAGGTGGGGATGGGCCAGAAGGGCCAGGGAAGCAGGTGATGGGCGGAAGAGCTGACAGTCTGATAGTGGCCTGGGAAAGCAGAGAAATTACAAATTTTATTTTGCATTCTCTAAAATTTCAAAATGGCTGCCCACCTTTGGGTTTCATGAAAGCATTTATTATCATGGAATTGGTTCTGGGGATATGTTTACTTATTGACGTAGCGTATCAATGGGGTCCATTCTGCTGAACTGTCAGGTGCATAAGCGGAAGTTGTGGCTCTGTTTTGCAGAACTCCAGCGCGTCTTGCAGCAGCTGTGCCCCAGAGCTTGCTTGCTTTTACATCAGTTATCCACCTATTGGCCTAGTTATAAGCTTAGCTTAAACACATCCCCACAGTGTCTCTGTGTCTATTCACTTTTTATTTTCTTTAAGAGACAGGGTCTCTCTCTCTGCTGCCCAGGCAGGAGCATGGTGGCACGATCGTAGTTCACTGTAGCCTCAAACTCCCAGGATCAAGCAATAATCCTCCTGTCTCAGCTTCCTGAGTTAGCTGGGACTACAGACTAAGTTTTTAAATTTTTCTGTAGAGACAGGTTCTTGCTGTGTTGCCCAGGCTGGTCCCGAATTCCCAGACTCCAGCAATCCTCCTGCCTCGGCCTCCTGAAGTGCTGGATTATAGGCATGAGCCACCGCACCTGGCCATCTTCATCTTCTTTATCACTCTGGCTGGGGGGCAGGGTGCCCTTATGGTTCAGGCTTCTCATTTGCCAGCATCTTACTCTTTTTTTTTTTCATTAGTTTCTTCCTATCCTCTCCACTAGCCTGCATCAGGCTCCAAGGTGAGGGGCTGGTCACTGATGTGGGTTGTCCTCACCAATGTTAGAAATACTGCCACCGTCCTGGAGGAGGGACTTTTGTGATAGCCAAGGCGCTCTCCCGTGGCAGGATGGTGCCTGGAGTGGCCCAGGTCGATGGGTAAAATGTCGCTTACCTTTAAGCAAGATCCAGTCGCTCTAGAAGTCTGAGCCGTCTGCTCACAGTGGCTTGTGAGCAGCCTGGCGGGGTGGCCGCGGCTCCGTGCCATCCGTGGCAGGAGGGGCGGGTGGCAGCTGTTTCTTCCTCACGGGGAGCTGGCAGCACCAGGGATGGCTGCATCAAGGCTTCCACCCTGTTGCAGCTGAGCTAATTATACCTTCCCCACGAAGGGAGAAATCGGAGCACTGCATTTGCATTGAAACCAGCCCGACATGGCGGGGCCAGAATTACGCCAGCATTTATGTTCTTTGAATTGTTTTAATTAGCAGCTCCGCAGTACCAGTCTCTTATTTTGTTTTTATATTCCTTTCCTCCACTAGCAAAACCTGACATTTAGGAAACATTTGGACCAGATTTCTGTCACATTCTGCCTGTTGGAGACTTAGGATCTCACTCTACTTGGTCATTACTGTGCCACAGTGGATCCATCGAAATTTTTTTAACGTACACTTTGGTGGTTTTCGCTCTTTGGTTCTAACATGTGCTTCAAATGAATGATCTGGTGGTGAGTGGAGAACCCCAAACATGTCAGATCCTAGCTTTTAAGTCTTGTTTTCTCTCAGGATTCAGCTTATTTTAGGGTTGTACGAAGTCCTATCTTTTAATTCATCTTCTAGATAGGAAGAAAAGGAAGCAGAATAGGGAAGCTGATTTACAGTAGACATTTAAGGAAGCAAATGAATATAACTTGACTAAGCAAGGCCACGTCCAGAATCCTAAAGTGTTAAAATGAAGAAATCATTGCGAGAAGCCCACTACCAGTGTATTAACTGCTGAGAGAGAGGAAGATGCATTGTACTAAAACCAGCTGACAGTGCAAGTAGCCAAATAAACCTATTTGAACTTCAGCACCTTTTATCTTAC